TTTAAAAAAAAAAGGTCTTCAGGCAAGCTGTTAGTTCCGCAAAGAAAAAAAGGGTGTGCCAACAACCTACAGAGATAGTTTCCCATGTGTCCAGTCAAGACTGTGATATCTGGAAGACTATTATTGGTAGGCCTTATTAAGTCAACCCAAAGAAAGGCAGGTTATTTGAATTTGCTAGGCTCAGAAGGAGAAAGATGAGCTATTTCCTTTCTGCACAATTTACCTCTGCAAACCCACTGGAGGGTCAGCTATGAGTTGTTTCAACTCCATGGTTCACAACAACTAACGTCAAGGAGCTTTATAGATGTGATGCATTACATGTTGCACTGCTAACCATAGAGTAAATTATTCAAATCTACTAGCTGTTCCTCAGGAGAAACACAACCTATAAAGATTTCTAGCCTCAGAAATCCATGGAGGATCTCCTTGAGTTGAACTTGGCTCAGGCACAGTGAGTTTGGCTTGATTTATTAAGTGATTAAGAGTATTTTTGAGTGTACCAAGTTAGATTCGTTTCCATTCAATCCTTAGAAACATTCCCACAATGAGTTTCCTCCCCACTGATGAATTTACTATGTATGTATTTTCTTTTATCTCGTAATCTTACTAATGGTACTTGCTCTCTGATTTCTTAACAGCCAGTGGCTGTTCAAAGATCACTAGAATGCAGCAGCTCACAAGAAGAGGATAAAAATGATTATACAACTCAAAGAATGTAAATAATGTAATAGGAGTCACTTGACAAGGTGTATTATTTTTGCTGTGTTTATCTTCAAACAGAATAAGAAGAAAATAAATTATTAAAAATAACTAGATGGCTCTAATCCTCCGATTTCATTAATTAATCTTTTCCAAGAATTAAATGTTCAGTTAAATATTTTATTGAGTGATTCTCTCAGGCCATCTGAGACACTGACATCTGTAAATGACAGCAATCCTACTATTCAAAGCATTCTCCCGCACATGTCACTACCCACCCTCATATATAGCTCTATTAATGTCAAACAGATTGTCATCTGGGGAAAATAAAAATACATCAAAATCACATTCGGACAGCATACAGCTCTAAAGAAAAACAGTAGGGTGGTTTGTTGGGTTTTTTTATTGTACAAATGTCTTAAATGTCTGATTGAAATGTTTAAAGAATGAATTAGCCAGAAATAAGCTTCTGATCTACATAACCCAGACTAATACTGCAATTAAAATAGTTTTGGAGTTGATTTTAGCAAAAAAAAAGTATTTGTCCCAGTTCTTGTAAACACTATAAAGAAACGTTTGGTTTCTAGCTGGGGCTGAGGGCTCTGTTTAGCCTATCAATGCTCAGACCTGCTATAAACGCTGGGGCGCTTGCCAGAATTTTTTTCCCCCCCATTCCACTCTTAGTAAAGATCGTACCTCGAAAGCAAAGTGCGTCGTAAACCATGGAGGTTTAAGCTCCCATTCTCGCCTCCATACCGTATAAGCAGTGACTTTTGAGGTACCCCTTACCTCCTAATACTGAAGATGAATTGCCTCTCCGCCAGCCCCAACACGATGTTACCATCCTGGCGCAGCCCCCCAGAGCTCAGCACCTGTTTGCCTCCTGGCTCCTGCAGGGTAAACTTGCGGGGCCACCCATCTCTCAGCTAGCCTTGCACAAACCCACAAACACTCCTACTCCCTCCATGGCAAACAGTCCTCAAATTCTCCGTAACTCACCTCACCCTTACCAACTACGCCCACAAGCCCTGTTGCTTCTTCCCCCGTCCTGCCGGTTTCATCCCTAACACACCTGTCTGCCCCCTCCAGCTGACAGACTCGAGGTGCCCACGCTGTGCTCTACCCTGTGTCCTTGCAACTGACTGGGGCTTCTAACTCCTCTCTGAAGGTCAGCTTACTCCGCGCACCCCAATCCTCTATCCGCCGCCCCCCCCCCGCTTCCTCCCCCTCCCCCGAAGACCGCCCCGACTCCCACCTGGCAGGTGCTGGGAAGGGACGCCCGCCGTACCTGCAGAGAGCTCGGCGGCGGCGAGCAGCAGGAGCACCTGGCGGAGCGCGGAGCGGAGCACCCGGGTCATGGCCACCAGGCGGGCTCCGGGCGGCGAGGCTCCACAGCGCAGCGAGGCGGTCGGGGCAGAGCGGGCTGCTTTGAAGTTCAGGGAGAGAGCAGCCGGGACCCCCTTTTGAAGTGTGCGGTTGACTCTAGTCAGCACGGGCGCCCCCTCTCCCCGCCTCCCCCATCCCACGGCCCCCGCGCTGGCGGTGCGCGTGGCTCTTGCCACTGCCCCTGCGGCGGCCGCCAGGGGGGTGGGGGCGCGGCAGAGCCCGCCCCCGCCGCGCCTCCGCCCCGCGCGCCCTCGGGCTGCCGAGGGCCTGCTGTGAGCGGCGGGCGGCAGAGGCGGCTTCAGCGCCCGCGGGGAGACCGCCCCAGCCGGGACGGGAAGAAAGGAGGGAGAAGAGGGCCGAACCCTCGAGAGACTCGGTACTCCACGCTGCGGGAGGAGACGGAGAGCCTCACTGGGACTTTAAGAAAACTTAAATCTCACAGCCAAGACTTCCTCGTGGTTTGCTCTATACTGTTATACAGAAGATCCACCTCCCAGGACTTGTGATCTTCATTTGAAGATTTTTCAAATTGGGCTGCACCTAGAGACAGCCTGGCACTCTCTGCCCGGCTCCCTACGTGTCTTCCCGGCTTAAGCTCACACCCAGTCCAAGCAGAGCACTCGACTGGGAAGGGCGCCCTCTTTATCTAGCCCTGGGAATGACTAACTAACTGCATGTGGGACCTCTAGCTCTGGTGGGCCATTTGGAGACCACATCCCAAAGAATAGACAACCAAAGCTAGACTACTTAAACCAGGGGATTTTTGTGGTCTGCAACGTCCTGTGATCCAAGTTTGTAAATATAGAACCAGTATCATCTAAGTCTTTTCAGTTCCTTCCATCTCAAAGTTGGGCAATGATTAAGGATGACAGGAGAAGAATCGATGCATTTGAGTTGTGGTGTTGGAGAAGATTACTGAATATTCCACAGACTGCCAAAAGAACAAACCAGTACGTCTTGGAGGAAGTGCAACCAGAGTGCTCTTTATAGGCAAGGATGGCGAAACTTAGTCTGACATACTTTGAGATTTGGGTTAGTAGGGACCAGTCCTTCGAAAAAGAAACCAAGATTAGAAATGTGGAGGGTTATGGAAAGATAGGAAGACTCTTAGCACGTGAATGAACACATTATCAGTGGGCTCAACTAAGAGAGGATAAGGATGGTACAGGATAGAGCAAATTTCAGATGTATAACTCACAGGGTCACTAAGAGGCCTCATCAACTTGATGACAATTAACAACAACGCTCTCAACAAATCACACACTGAGAGGGATTAAGGAAAGGAAGGGGTATTAAATTCAAAAATTGTTTCACTCCCTGGAGCCTTATAATCAAATGAGTGTACTTTCCACATGAACTGTGGTTGAAAATATAAAAGCAGCATAACAATTAATGAAAATTAGCCTAATCTCAATTAACCTATGTAGCCTGTGCATTTACAGAAAATGAATGGAATCACTTTAACAACATAAAAAGCCGAGGATCCAATACTGGTGTTATCACACCTGTTTGAGAGTTCCTTGGAACGTGATTAAGTTATACAAATCAGGTGCTTGTAGTAAGAGACATTACTAGCTTCTTTATCTTACTTAGTATTAAATAACATAAATGGGGGAAAGCACAAACAAAAAAAATCTCATTTCTGTCACAGAAATGAATTGATTCGTAGTAAACTCTCCACCTGGTTTCTGAGGTTATAAATACACGGCAGGGGATTGCCTATCTTTCTCCTGTGGAACTGTCAACAACATGTTACCTTTATTTTTTTTTAATAAAATGTTTACACTAGTTTACTTACAAAGTGTGTACACATTTTCTCACCAGATCTTCCCTATTTCCTTTACCCATCTCTCCCTCCACCCATCAAATTGTGTGACCCTATGACTAAGCCCGAAGATTCTCACCACAACAATTGACAGCATCAGGATGGATGGTGAAAAGATTGAGGTTGTTCACAGCTTTAGTCCGCTGGGCTCCACAGTCAACACTCTTGGCACCAGCAGCCAAAAACTTAAAAGACATATTGCCCATGGGAAAATCTGCTGTTAGGGACCTCTCCAGAGTACTGAAGCGCAATGGTGTCTCTCTGGAGACTAAGGTGCATCTGATACAGGCTATGGTCTTCGCAATCACTTGTTATGCAACAGAGAGTTAGACAATGACCAAGGAGGATAGAAGGAGAATTGATGCCTTTGAGCTGTGGTGCTGGAGAAGAGTATTGAGAATACCATGGACTGCTAGGAAAACAAACAGATTTGTCCTGGAAAGGGTTAAACCGGGTGGCTCCTTGGAGGCAAGGATTCTGAGGCTTTGTCTGACATACTTTGGTCATGTTGTAAGGAGAGACCGGTTCTTGGAGAAGAACATCATGCTTGGGAGGGTGGAGGAACAGCGCAGGAGGGGAAGGATCTCTATGAGGTGGATTGACTCAGTGACTGGGGTAATCGGGATGGGTGTGTCAGAGACAGTGAGATTGGCACAGGACAGAGCAGAGTTTAGGGCTGTTGTACATAGGATTGCTATGAGTTGCAAGTGACTCGACAGCACATAACAGCAACAATGACTAAGTCCCACTTCCTACCCCTCTACTCCCACTCTACCATGTTGCATCCTCATACACATTTTGCAATAATGGTCTTATATATAGTATTTGTCCTTATAGGACTGTTAGTTCACTCAACTTAGTGCTCTCCAGTCCCTCGAGATGTTTGATACCTTTTGAGAATCAACATAACTACACCACCAGAGTTCCCTAAATAATAGAAGGAACTGGTGAAATGATGTCTTTACTATCAAAGGTTCCTAGGGCCACAGCATTTTGTATTCTGCCAATATTCTGTGGAGCTCCAGTAGTCTAGTAGGTAAGGAGTTGCACTGCCAATCCAAAAGCACAAGGTTGGAATCCACCAGCTTCTCTGACCAAGAAAGGTGGGCAATCTGCCTGTGAAAAACGACTGGAAGGTCAGCTATGAGTTGGCTTCAACTCAGTGGTCACACACACCCCCTAAAAACTGGCAGTTCCAACCCCCCCCAATGGTACCAAAGAAAACTAATTATCTACTTTTATTAGGATTTTTTTAAAAAACAAAACACACACACGCTCTTTGTCATTGAATCAATTTTGAGTCATAATAATCCGATGTGTTACAGAAATAACTGAACTTAATAGGGTTTTCCACCTCTAATCTTTCTAGTTTATAGATGCATCTTTTCACTATACATTATCCAATCTGTATACTGACCAAATAATCTGAGGAGCTGGACTATATGAAGAAGGTCGGGGCATCAGGACCAAAGGAAGAAGTTTTAGTAACAACCTGTGTTATGCAGTTGACCCATCCTTTTTCATAGTACAAAGGACTAAAATATTTTCTAATGAAGGTCAAAGACTTCAGAATGGATTACACCTCAACATAAAGAAAACAAAAATCTTCACAAATAGACCAATAAGGAGCAGCATGAAAAAGAAAAGATTGGTGTAGTCAAGGATTTTATTTTACTTGGATCTCCCATCACAAACAGCAATCAAGAAATTAAACAACATATTTCATTGAGCATATCTGCTGAAAAGACTCCTTGAAAGTGTTGAAAAGAAAAAATGTCACTTTGAGAACTAAAATGTGCCTGACCCAAGACAGGGTATTTTTAATTGTCACATGTGCAAGCAAAAGGCTGGACAGTGAATAAGAAAGGTTAAAGAAGAATTGATTTCTTTATGATGTCAGGGAAGAATGTTGACTATAGCACGAACTGCCAGAGCAACACTTGTGTCTGTGAAGAAATACAGCCAGTATTCAACTAAGAAGTGTGAATGGCAAGATTCTCTCTCATGGACTTTGTGTTATCAGGAATTACTAGCCCCTGGAGAAGACCCACCAGCTTGGTAAAGCAAAGGGTCAAGGTGGCGGAGAAAAAAAAGAAGATTTTCAATTTGTTGGGAAAATCACAGTTGCTGCAACCATGGACTTGTGCATCACAACAAATGTGAGAACAATGTGGGACCAGGCAATGTTCCATTCTGTTGTACATACACTTACTGAATCAGGAATGACTCATAGGCACCTAACAGCATTTTTTTATAGAGGCATAGCTCCAAGCTGCTGAGAGGGGACAAACCACTAAACTATCAATTAGTGTTATTAGTTAATGTGGAGTCCAGTTTTAGTCACATCTCCCGCCACTGGCATTAAAACCATAGAGGCTTCAAGGTTGGGACTTTTGGAAGCATTTAATCAAGCTTATCTTCCAAGGTGTCTCTGGGTAGATCTGAACTCCATATCTTTGAGCCAGTCATTGGGTGCTTAGCTATTTGCATCACCAATGAAAACAATTTGCACCATGGGATTTCCAATGAGATTGCAGTGGGGGAAACCCCTTTGGAGCAGTTGTATACTAACACATGGGGTCACCACAAGTCAGAACTGATTCAATGACAAGTCTGTTTTCGGTTTCTCGAAGGATCACAGTATTGTAGGTAGGATGGTTGGTGGACTTAAAAGCATAAAAGTGATAGTCTAGAGGAACACTTCACTCCTTCACCTTAAAGGAATCAAAAGATGTCTGATCATAAAAAGGCTTTGTTCTCATTTCATCCTGAATCTAAACAAAAAATTGTAGATGTGGGATATGTCTAAACCCTTCCAGACACCCACAAAACAGATGCTTTGGGTTGGGGGGTAGAGACAAGGGAATGTTTGAGCATGTATAATTTAACTGACGTGACTTGCTCATTATTTGGCAACTGTGTCTGAGATTGGAAACTATAGTTAGATTATAAAACTTGGAGCCTAAAGATCAGAATTTAGTGAGCATCTTATCCCTTCCTATTACTCATTAGTATTATCAGAATAAAAAACCAAAAATGAAAAACAAAACAATGTGTGTGTGAATGCAATATAAAACCATTAGGTGGGCCCCCTGTCCAGGAGTCTCTCCACAAGGCCACCAAAATCCTAAATATGTATGTGTCATCAAGTGATCATTATAAATAAAGTAGACCTGCCCTTAAAAAAAAAAAGCAAAAAAACCCAAACACAACAAACCATCATTAGGCACTGCACTAATGTCAAATCAATCTCCACATATTACTTTTAATTCTTGAATAGAGTAAGCAACATCCTTCCTAAGTTGGAAAGTGTTCATTTTCTAAGATAGCAAGCTTATTGTCCTAAGAAATTTAATA